TCTCCATCCAAGCTTAAGCCCAGATCTGTCTGCTTTTGAACGAGGAGGTCTGGCTGACTCCGAACAGGAGCAACCATGTATGAAACTCTCCTCTCTATGCACGCTCAGTTGTGCATGGCTGGCGAAGCGTGTTCCCTTCAACCCCAAACTTCCTCTCTCCCCTCTCCTTATTAAGTTCGTGCAAGCCAACCATGGCAAGACTTCCCCATCTCGCTGGCTGGATCCAGCTCAGCAAACAGAAGTCCGGCAACTCCCAGCTATTCCGTGAACGGATTGTGAGAATAAAACATTCCATTTCCACCAAGTCCTCGCTTTAACGGGTTCTAACTGGCAGCGTTCAGCTGGTAGCAAGCAGTGGCCATTGCGGTCAGCTCCGCAATGCCCGTTCCTCCCTGGGGGCTGAGGAATGACCCGTGGGGTGCGAGAACCTCGTGACCGGTGGGTCCCTGGGGAGGGGCATGCTGAGTTTTAATCATTTTATTTTTGTAAAATAAAAAAAAATATTTTTAAAGTATTTTAAAATTATTTTTTTAAATGGCCGTGAACGTTAACAGTTCATGGCCATTTGCTTCTGAGTTACGCCTGTTTTGAGTACATTCATTAAGGCGCTCCCGATTTTGGTTTTGGGGTCAACTCTAGATTTTTTTTGTTGTGGTGGTTATTGAATCGTCCTCCTTTTTAAACTTCATCGCTACCGGCTGCTGGGACAGATCACGAGAAGGATGTGGCTTTCCCCCTTCTACAATGAGTAGGCTTCCCGCTGATCACACTGGCAACTGTAAGAATCGGCCAGAGAGACTTGCGGTCCAATTTTTGTGACGATATAAAACTCCACTCCAAACTCTCCAAGAGGTGATAACATTATGGAACGGCTGCAGGAGAACCTGGAATAGCCATGTGGTATACAGGCAGTCCTTGACTTACAACATTTCATTAGTGACCATTCAAAGTTACAGGGAGACTGAAAAAAGGGACTTGTGTGTAGTGTCATGTCGGCCGCTGGCCCCTCCAGCAGCCAAATCAGAGGAAGAGGAGGAGGAGGTGTGGGAGTCACGATCAGCATCAAGGCAACCTGAGAGCTCGGAGGGAGGAGAGGGAATGGAGCTGTCAGAGAGAGAGAGGGGGGGGAGGGGGAGAGAGAGGGAGAGGGAGAGAGAGAGGGAGAGGGAGAAAGGGAGAGAGAGAGAGGGAGAAGGAGAGGGAGAGAGGGAGAGAGAGAGAGGGAGAGAGAGAGGGGGAGAGGGAGAGGGAGAGGGAGAGAGAGAGGGAGAGGGAGAGGGAGAGGGAGAGGGAGAGAGAGAGAGAGAGAGGGAGAGAGAGGGAGAGGGAGAGGGAGGGAGAGGGAGAGAGAGAGGGAGAGAGAGAGAGAGGGGTGGAGCCTGGGAACAGCTGGGTCCAGTGCCTGACATGCAGATGTGCAGAAGGCAGAGGAGAGGAGAGCAGTGGAAATCTATGGGCCGGTCCTTGGGATAGAAGAGCCACCGCTGCAAGTGAAGCCCCACCCTAGCTCTGGGGATCAAAGGCAGGGGGCGGAGATGAATAGATGTGGCAGACAAGTATTCATCTTCTGGTCAGCCGGACTTGTTAGCTTGAGAGAGAAACTTTTTTACCGGGGCTGCCGGCGCTCCTAATAAAGGAATCTTTTGAGTTAACTTCAGAGGGTTTGTCGTGTTTGGGGAGCTGGATCAGAACAGTACAACCGTTTTTCACACTTATGACCATTGCAGCATCCCCGTGGTCATGTAATCAAAATTCAGACAGTTGGCAACTGGCTCATATTTATGACGGTTTCAGTGTCCCGGGGTCAAGCGATCTGCTTTTGCGACCTTCTAACATGCAAAGTGAATGGAGAAGCTGGATTCACTTAACAACCGTGTTACTAAGTTAACACAACTGCAATGGCCCACTTAACAACTGTGGCAAGGGAGGTCTTAAGATGGGCCAAAACAATCTTAACTTCACACCAGAAATTTGGGGCTCCATTTCGGTCATAAGTCGAGGACTACCTGCAAAGATTCCCCAAGAGATGATGTACATCTGTACTGCAAAGTTATAGGTGCCTTTAAAAGCGTGTCGAGGAGGTTGTGTAGCTTTAGAAAATTTACACAAACCTGTTTGACCGGAGCCGAACAAATGCAAAACAGCCAACTGCATGAATTAAACAGCACAGGATCTCAACTTGAAAGCGACTAAATAAAATTAATTTTTTTAAAATATATATATATATATATATACTGGATTTCATTCCTCGTCAGAGCTCAAATGCCCTTTTAAGAAAGCTGCAGAGGATAAGAAGGTTGGCAAACAAGAGGAATGTTGGACCAAGGCTTACATCAAGAGTTTTTATGCCTAGAGGGATCCAAAATAAATATTCAGAAAATGGGAAAATTGGAGAACGGTTCCAACCACAGCTTCAGGGCTGGCCTGAATTGACCCAGTTTACTGCTAAAGCTTCCCTCTATGTAACAGTAACAGTAACAAAGTTGGAAGGGGCCTTGGAGGTCATTTAGTCCAACCCCCTGCTCAAGCAAAAGACCTGTACTAGGGATTCGAACTGCTGAACTGCCGACCTTTCTGATCGAAAAGCTCAGCGTCTTAGCCACTGAGCCACCTACTCTGTCCAACATCTGGGCTGGTCGTGAAGATGATTAGGAAATTTTATATTATATTTTTTGAATTTTCTTTTTCAGAGCCACGGTTGAACTTTTTGTCTGGTCCGTGTGTTTCCCTGAGAGCAGTTTATTCCTCTAGAGCAGGGGAGCTCCAAACTTGGTGACTTTGAAGACTTGTGGACTTCAACTCCCAGAATTCCCCAGCCAGCACATGCCCCTCTGCTCTAGAAGTACTGGTACTATTACAGTAGTGGCCAAAATTGTGAAAACTTTTTGGGAAAAGTGTATTTTTGAGGTTTGATGGCTAATAACACCATTTTTGGGGGGAGTTTCAAGATAATCCTATTCCACTGCTGGAATGGCCTGGGAATAGCCCAGACCTTCTTAACCCAATGGAAAATCGATGGAGACGACTCAAGAAACTGGTTAGTCAGAAGCAACCCAGCAATAAAACCCAGTTAACAGAAGCCATCATTCAATCTTGGTTTCACATGATAACAGCTGCAGAACTCAAAGACTTGGTTCACTCCATGGGGAAGACGTTGTAAGGCTGTAATTTTATTTTATTTTATTTTATATTGGATTTCTATACCGCCCTTCTCCCTGAGGACTCAGGGCGGTGTACAGCCAGATTAAAAAACATGCAGAACAAATATTAAAAACAATTAAAAGATATATAAATTTGGCCCAATTAAAACTCATTTACCAATTAAAAACGTTTAAAACATTTAAAAAACAGTTAAAAATTTCATCTTAAGCCAGCCCGGCTTGTTTAAATAAATGGGTTCATGCTAAAGGTTACCCAACTAAGGATTAACTGACGTGGTGATCATTTTTGTATATCTCGTTTTTTCTACGTGTTTCACTTTTCTTCTTTATACTGCAACTGCTTTTCTAATAGCAAATCCTTCCTAAAAGTTATTGCATTACATTCTTGATTAAATTATCTTTCCATTGATATATAATTTTATGGTACTACTCCCCCAAAAAAGGGGTGTTATTAGTTAGTTTTAGAAAATACTACCAAGAGCCTTGGTAGTACATCACATCAGGCTGCCTTCTTAAGTTTACATCAATGGTTCTCCACCTTGCTACTTTTAAGATGTGTGGACTTCAACTCCCAGAATTCCCCAGCCAGCATAACATGGACAGCACTTCCTCCTCTTGAAGCCTTCCAACTTGGTTGGTTGGGCATCAAGAGGATGGGGATTATGGGAGTTACACTTGGGAGAACCCCAGTTGAAGGACTCCAACTGGCATTTCCACCTGTCATTTCTTGGTATCTTCTGACGATAGGACTGTCCTCCTCCTTCTTCTACCCACCAATTCTGCTAAAGTCACACCTCGTCTCTTAGTCAACCCTTCCTTTTGGGACTTAGTATGCCCATTAATAACCCCTGGAGGGAAACTACACGTACACACCATCTCTACGGTAAAGGTAAAGGTTCTCCCTCGCACATATGTGCTAGTCGTTCCCGACTCTAGGGGGCGGTGCTCATCTCCGTTTCAAAGCCGAAGAGCCAGCGCTGTCCGAAGACGTCTCCGTGGTCATGTGACCGGCATGACTCAACGCCAAAGGCGCACGGAACGCTGTTACCTTCCCACCAAAGGCGGTCCCTATTTTTCTACTTGCATTTTTTAAGTACTTTCGAACTGCTAGGTTGGCAGAAGCTGGGACAAGTCACCGGAGCTCACCCTGTTATGCGGCAGTAGGGATTCGAACCGCTGAACTGCCAACCTTGCGATCGACAAGCTCAGCATCTTAGTCACTGAGCCACCGTGTCCCCTACACCATCTACATGCTTAGAATTAAGAATGACATCTGAAAAACCAACAGGAGCTCAACTACAGCATTTCTGACCAAGTGAATTTATTCCTAAAGCTTTTGAAAAACAAACAAACATACATCCCTTTTGGAAACCAACAACTGAACTAAACACCAGCCCGTGTTTCATCCTCTTTCAGACATGACCTCGTAGCACGTCTTTTGACATCCCAATCCTCTCATATTTTTTCCCCCCACCCTTTTCTTCTGATTCTCATGGCCTTTCATCCTCCTGGCTTTGAACCAGATGCAGAAAGGACACCAATGGAAAAGTGAGAGAAATGGAGATATTGCCAGCCAAAGGAGAAAAGCAGGAGGAGCAACAGGAATTCCAGAAAAGCCACCACTCCTAATGAAAAAAAACCCCACCCTTTTAAAGGAATGGAAGGGCCAGAAAATCCCACCGGATTCCATAATTGTTTTTTTTTCCCCCCACAGAAGATGTGAGAAGTCAAAGCAAGCTTGTAAAAATACAGAGATGGCTTAAACTAGGTTTATCTTTGGCAACCTGCACCCCCCAATTCCCCAACAAGGTAGAGGCCACCTTGGTTTTCAACGCCTACCTGTGACATTCACTTCCACTTGTCCAGATCGGGTGCCGATGGTATTGGTGGCTTCACAGATATATGTTGCGGATAGGCTGTACGTGACCGGTCCTTTGAAGAACAGAGTGCTGTTTTGAATTTCGGCACTGTCGGGCAACGAGGCGTTCAGCCTGTCGAAAACAAGAACACAGAACCCTTGGACCGTTAGCAGAAAGTTTTCACCATCTTCTTTTAATCCCTTGCATCGGGGTGGAGTCTGGGCAAAAGAATGGAGCCGAGTATTTACTGGCCGGATGCCTTTCCTGTTGCCAATCCGGAGTTATATTCAGCAGATATATCCCCATGGTGCCCAGAGAGAAAAATATCTGCCTCTACCTAGGATCGAACTCACAGCCTCCTGATTGTGAGGCGGGAGCTCCACCTCTAGGCCACCGCACCACTTGAGCAGAAAGCTTTTCATCTGGCTAGCTAATTCTACAAGCGGTGGCTGGTGAGTCCAACTTAGTCACTGGGCACCTTTCTGCTTTTGCATTTGTTAAATTATTAGACCCATTTGGAGGGCGATTCCTAATCAATGTTTAGTACAGGGGTCTGCAACCTTAAACACTCAAAGAGCCATTTGGACCCGTTTCCCACAGGAAAAGAAAACACCGGGAGCCACAAAACCCTTCCGGTGCCTGAGTATTTCTTAAGTGGCCATAAAACTAGCATATGTAGTTGAATTAAATGTTCTGTTTTCTTCTGAAACTTTTCTTTTCTTGGATTTATCCATGGTTGGCCTACCGGGGGTTGAAATGCTCAATAAATCACGTGCTGGCGGGTGTCACACATTGGCGGTTGTGACGCATATTTTGAGTGACAGGGAGCCGCAGCAGAGGGGTGAAAGAGCCACATGCGGCTCCAGAGCTTCAGGTTGCTGACCCCTGGTATAGTAGGATCAGGGTGGGTTCTAATTTTTTTTACTACCGGTTCTGTGGGCGTGGCTTATTTTGTGGGTGTGGCTTGGAGGTCATGTGACTAGGTGGGTGTGGCTAGCTGGTCAGAGTCATTTCTGGAAGGTCCTCGCACTTACGACCAGTCCTCACACTTACGACCTGACTCATTTGTTTGCTTTTATTAAGTTTTAGGAGAGGGGACCTTTTGGGACCTACAGCTGCCACGTTGCTAACATCTGATATATAACTGCTTGATTCCTTTTTTTAAAAAAACAACAACAAAAGGATAGGATGAAAAGGCAAAACAAATGAAATTAGCTCCCTGGCCCTAAAGATGAGATAACTTCAACCTAGAGTATTTTATTCACCTATCTTCTCAAAAAATAGATTTGCTAATAATCTCATCCTGGATCTCACCCTTGTTCTTTTTTTTTTTTTTTTTGAACTATTACCATCTGGCAGACGGTACCGGATAATAAGAACAAGGGCAAATAGGCTGAAAAACAGCTTCTATCCCATAGCAGTAACTATATTTATAGTGCAATATTAATGCAATATCAGGGTTTTTTTCCAATTCAATTGCATAGAAGGTGAAGGATGTTGTGTTTGGGTTTTATTTTTATAGTTATAATCGACACCGAAGATGGCATTTAATTTCGTTGTACGAGGTGCAATAACAATAAAGTGAACTAACTCACTAATGCTATCTGTTCTACGGAGGGAACGGTTCTCTCTCCACCCTCCCGCCCCAAATACTACAGGAACTGCAGCCTCGTCATGTAAATCCTGATAGAAAATTGAGAGGAGCTCAGCAAAAATATATATATATATATATAAAAAAAAATCAATTCCAAAGTGTTTTGAAAAAAAACCACCGAACAAACATAAACAACTCTGCACCGCGGAGGAAAATTATGCAGTTTACTCATTTTTAATCAATCCGAGGGAAAGCAATTAAGTTCAGCAAAAGCAATCGACAGGCACCAGCCCAGGGGTGATGGGCCCAATTTGCATTCAGATGAAGCTCCACTTAGAAGCAAGTGGGGGTGGGGTGGGGGGAAACTCCTCCCTCCCCTTGGGAGCAATTAATGATCAGAAAATATCAGCGCCCCACCACCACACGTACCAACAACTGGGCTCCTCTAAAGCAGCTTTGCCCTCTACTCTACTCCCTTAAAAATCATCTCCATCATTAACCATAAGCTATTTGGCCCAAAGAGATAGAAACAATCAAAAGCTTGATTTTGTCCATGTTAACATGCCCCAGACAAGGATCTACGCTGGCAAGGACTTCGAAGAGAAAAAAAAAAATCAATATTTTATAATTTAAGGCAAGCTACAGCATTCCCAGCCAGAAAACGAATGCGTTGTTTTGAAAAAGAAAAGAGAGTATGAGATTTGAGGTCTTAGAATCATAGAATCCTGGACTAGAAGACCTGCAAGGAAGAGATCTTGGAGGTCTTCTAGTCCAACCCTCAAGGCAGGAGTCTGTATACCAACCCGGACAAATTGTTGTCCTATTTTATTTTATTTTTTTTAACCTCTAGTGATGGGAGAATCCACAATTTCTGGAAGCAAGCGGTTCCATTGATTAATTATGGAGTTCTTGATGTTCTCCGAGCTTGGTTTCTTGGAGATGCAAAGAGAAACCCAACGGGATGATTAGATTGGCTCTCTGTTTAGATATGCCAGCTTCTTCCTCCTTGGTCACCTGGAAAATGCTATTCTGCTGGCCTTCTTCAACCACAGAAGACATGTTTGAGCGTTGTGAGGATCGTACCCCATCCAGGGTAAATGCCAAGGCTCCAGGATTGATGCTTACTCCATACCAATCCGTTAAATCTCTGCCCACAGAAGAGAAAGGGAAGGAAAGATTTCCTCCTGACACAGTGGTCTTGCCTTCTAGAGGCAAGGCATTTGTGAGAATGCCCAGCAGGAAGCAGCCAATGTCAGTCCTAGCTGGGCATCTGGACACCAGGATCCCCATCACATCCTGGTCTGGTTTGTGAGAACTGTCCGCTCGCTCGCCTGAACGACTCCATCCAGGTCACTGCAGGTGGTGTGGCCGATGACTCACAAACTGACACACAAACACACACGCTCCTTCCTAAGCTGCCAGCCGGAGATGCACATGTGGGTGGAAAGTGATATCCTCAACAACGTCTCGGCTGCCAAGTAAGGAGCATTTTTAGAAAGAAAGGAAGGAAGGAAGGAAGGAAGGAAAGAAAGGGAGAAAGGAAGAAAGGAAGAAAGGAAGAAAGAAAGTAAATAAGTAAGTAAATAAATAAATGAAGGAAGGAAGGAAGGAAGGGAGAAGGAAAGAAAGAAAGAAGAAGGAAAAAAGAAAGATAGGAAGAAAATAAAGAAAGGAAGGAAGGAAGGAAAGAAAGACAGAAAGGAAGGAAGGAAGGAGGAAGAAAGAAGAAGGAAAGAAAGGAAGGAAGTAAATAAATAAAGGAAGGAAGGAAGGAAGAGAGAAGGAAAGAAAGAAAGAAAGAAAGAAAGGACCGAAGGACATAAGAAAGGAAGGAAGGGAGAAGGAAAGAAAGGAAGAAAGAAAGAAGAAGGAAAAAAGAAAGATAGGAAGAATAAAGAAAGGAAGGAAGGAAGGAAAGAAAGACAGAAAGGAAGGAAGGAAGGGAGAAAGAAAGAAGAAGGAAAGTAAGTAAGTAAGTAAATAAATAAATAAATAAAGGAAGGAAGGAAGGGAGGGAGAAGGAAAGAAAGAAGAAAGAAAGAAGGAAAAGAAAGAAGAGGTGGGGATATCTGAGGACAACCAGGGCATTTGTGGGTTCTATCTGGAATGTTTTCCAGGGAAACCAACGGAATCCAGCACCGGAGATCTACTTCTGAGGTCTAAAAAAGCCCTGCGAACCACGAAAGGTGAGAATGAATTGACACCTGAGAGATGCAACGGGTCGGATCTTCTCAGCTGCTAATTAGACACTCTTGATTGCTGAAGCTGTGCGTGGGAGGACGGTGGAGTTTCCTTTTTTTTTTTTTAAATTTAAATTTTTGCTTTTGTGAAACACTTACGAGCCACACACCGCATCCCGATAGGTTCGAAATGGATCAGGGTTTGCAGCTAGTCTGATGCGAACCCTGATCCATTTCCCCTTGGAGGAGAAATCCAGGGTTTGTTCTGGATGCAGGCATCCTCATCTTACAACCTGTTGCTTAACGATTCTTCAAAGTTATGACAGAGCCCCCCCGCCCCCCCCGCCCCCCGATACTTACAACTCAGTTCTGGAGTCCCCAAGGTTTCCCCCTCCACCCCCAAATTCATATTCCTGCTTTTTAATCTTTTTGGCAACCGGCTTCTATTTGCAGCCATTTGCACGATCCCTCAATCGCACGACGGTGATTTACAACGTGTGTGTCAGAAAGGAGACATTTATTTCTTGTTTCCAGCAAGAAAAAAAAAAAACCCAGCCATAATCAACAACGGGTTTGCTTAACGACGATTGTATTCACTTGATCTCTGAACAAAGATCGTTAACAACAGGTACGATCCTGCGATAACCGGATTAACTACCAGCGTGAGTTAATGACCGTAATCGGAGACTCAAATACAGTCATTAGTTAAGGATTGCTTGTATTCGTTAACATTTGGAGGAGGGATGTGGAACAGATTGTAGTCCATCGTTTAAGTCTACATGGGGCTCCCCTTGGGGTGCACCCGGAGGCTGCAGTTGGTCCAGAATGCGGCCGCGCGGGGGATTATGGGAGCGACGGGGCGCTCACATATAACACCTCTCCTGCGCGAGCTGCACTGGCTTCCTGTGGTCTTCCGGGTGCGCTTCAAGGTGTCGGTGACCACCTTTAAAGCGCTCCATGGCTTAGGGCCGGGATATTTGCGAGACCGCCTTCTGCCGCCGATAGCCTCCCACCGACCGGTTCGCTCGCGCAGAGAGGGCCTCCTCAGGGTGCCGTCGGCCAGGCAGTGCCGGCTGGCGACCCCCAGGGGGAGAGCCTTCTCTGTGGCAGCGCCTGCCCTCTGGAACGACCTACCCCCTGAGATACGCACGATACCAGACCTCCGGACTTTTCGTCGGGCCCTGAAGACACACTTGTTCCATCTAGCTGGGCTGGCTTGATCCCACCCTCTTAGTTTTTTAATCGAATTTCGGTTTTAATTGGGTTGTTTTAAATTCGGGCCAAAATTATTTAATTGTTTTTTTAAATGTTTTTAAATTTTATATGCTATGTTTTATCCTGGCTGTACACCGCCCTGAGTCCCGCAGGAGAAGGGCGGGATAGAAATATAATAAAACAAATAAATAAAAATAAATAAATAAGTCCTAAAACTTCTCTTATTGTCTCTAGGGTGGCTGCCTCTATCAGACAGAAGGGAATTCAAGAGAAAGGATTGGTTTCTATCATCAGCAACACTTATTATGGTCATCTTCCTAACACAAAACCCACCGTGTAACAAATATTGCAGAAATGACTAGAATTAGAATAAATAAAAGGGTTACATAAAAGACTTAGACGGAGACGAGTAGCGCAAATGGAAAAGCTAAGCTGGGGCCTTGCTTAGAAACGCTACCTTCCTGTCTTCAGGGTACAGTTTACGTAAAATAATGGAGGAAAAGAGGTATCAATCATTCTTCCTTCACCTGCACAATCATTGACCAAGTAGCTCTTGATGCAACTTCATGGCCCTGGGCACAAAAGTGTTCTCATTTGGTTCCTTACTCGTTCAGTGCTACAAAAAAACTCGTAACAGTTCATCCATGCGGTGTGAGTGAGTCAATACTTACAGCTTCCATTGGTACTCAGTAGCGGGAGGATTGGCATCCGATAGACAGGTCAGTTTCACATCCTTGCGGTTGAGGTACCAGTTGCTGTCAAAACCATCGATCCTGACCTCGGGTTCGTCTGTGAAGGGGGAGCAACAGGGAAAAGAGAAAAGGAGGAACACGGTGGAGGGGAGAGATAAAGGAAGAAAGGAGGAGGATAAAGGAAGAGGGAAAGAGAGATGGAGAAAAGAAAAGGGAGCCAAGGAGGATAGAAGTAGGGTTGAGAAGATTAGGAAGGAGGGCAACATGGAGGAAGAAAAAGGATGGGAAGAACATTGGGAGGAAGTATGGGAGGAAGAAGGATGGAGAATAGAAGGATGGAGAGAACCAAGGGTGAAAGGATGAGCCAAGGGGAAGAAAGGAAAAATTGGACAGATAAGGGCAAAAGTGGAATTGGAAAGGCAAGGAGAAAAAGAGGGAAAACAGAGAAGAGTCAGGAGAAGACAGGAGAGTAGGAAAAACAGCAAAAGGAGGTAGGGTGAGAGAAGAGGCAGACATTAATGGATGTCCTGGAGACCACTTTCATTTCCTAACAATGGCTTCTGCAGCAAACCACAATGACGTCAAAATGACACATGTATGGCACCCATCATGTCAACGATGATGGTTGCAGATGTCCTTGTGTCCTGACCTCAGCACACATGATTTGCTACTTGCCCCTCCTTTCTCAGGGAAGCCCATGCCTAGTGCAACTCCCCAACAAGAGAAGTAATCAAATCTTCACTGAGGTGGTTGTGATTAGTCACGGTAAGATCTCCCTGTCGACCCTGAAGCTGGCTTGGCCGAAGCCATCTTGGAGCTTCGGTGCTGCCACACTGGGGCTGACGATAGGGAGGGGGGGATTAAGAGATAGCTGGGATTGTGCAGTCAAAACAAAATACGTTCTTTTGGGAACCAAGGACGTTCTCACATCCGGCCAGAGGAAGGAGGAGTGATGTCACTAGGCAACCAGACGGTGCCTTGATTGGACCATGTGACTCATTGTTTGGGGTTGCGGGAAAAACTTTCACTTTTAATTTGGTGAAAACCGCGGGACTTTTCAGAGTCGGTTTTTCACCAGATTTGTGCCAATATGATATATCCAATAACTTGGAGGAATTCATCAGCCTCGGAGTTTTGCTTAATATGGGTGTATTACTTGGAACCCTGACGCTCCCTTTTTAAGCCCTGTCTCTTTTACGTCCCAACTCCCCCGCTAAGCATCACTCCCGCTTCTTCAACTTACACAGCACGTTGAGGGTCATGCTCTCCGTGAAACGCTCCAACTGGTAGTTGACCACACACTTCAGCTGCTGTTGGTGGGCCTCCCGGCTTGGTAGAAGACGGTAGCGGCTGATCACCGTGAAGGTGCCATTCTCATTGCGGATCTCCTGGAATTCCGCCTCGCCTTTCAGCTTCGTGTCCCAACTCACAGTGCTGGGAGGCTTCCCATTGGAGGATATGCAGGTGGCCACCAGGATCTTCTCCGTCATGCCAGCCCTGGCAATCAGTGGTCTCGTGGTGACCTCCATCCGGTTCACTGGTTTGGCTGAAGAAAAGGCAAGGGATGAGCAAGTGGAAGTCAAGAAGTCATGATCAAATAACCAACAAAGACCATGAGTTGTTGTTTGATGAACATCAACATAGAGTCCTTCTCATTAGTTTGCCCAAGATCTAAACATCAATGAAGATCTAGGTAGACGTGTTGACATGAGCTTCTCTCTGAATCCCATCTCAAATGAAACAAGCCTTCAGCTTGTTTTCCTTGTGTGTGTTTTTATTATTGTTGTGAGCCATCCAAAGTTGTGTTTTACAAGACAGGAGGAAATAGGAATCTTATAAATACATGCGTACGTGGAGTAAACAAATGCAATCGGCAAATGAGATCCCATTGATGAAACGGGATTCATTGGAATGCCACACTTCCATGAAAAATGGGGCATGTTTTGAGTCTTCTTTATGGGGATGTGATCGCAAATATGCTACGAAAATCCGGTATGCTAGAAAGAGAGAAACTGAGGGCTCTTTTGTAACCTCTCAGGACATCTCACCTGCCCTTCACACGTTTAATTCTCCAAAAAAAATATTGAAGGGGAAACAGCAGTTGCTTTGATCTACCTGATTTCTAGGCTAGCATGTTGATTTTTACCTATTTCCCAAAGCACCTGAAGGCCAGACAAGGAATCATGGATGGAAACTGACCAAGGAGAGATTCAACCGGGAAATAAGGAGAAATTTCCTGACAGTGAGAACAATCAACCCATGGAACAGAAGTTGCCTTTGGAAGTTGTGGGAGCTTCATCACTGGAGGCTTTCAAGAAGAGACTGGACTGCCATTTGTCAGAAATGGTGTAGGGTCTCCTGCTTGGGCGGGGGGTTGGACTAGATGACCTCCAAGGTCCCTTCCAACTCTGTTTTTCTGTTATTTGCAAACATGTCTCTGTTTTGTGTGAGCTAAGTCACTATGGTTATTCTACAGACTAGAATTAAAACAGGCCATGGCTTAATGAAATGTGTGGACTGTAAGGCGTGAATTCAGAAATAAGTCCTCCCTAAGATAAAAGGGACATGGTGGCTCAGTAGCTAAGATGCTGAGCTTGTCGATCGAAAGGTCGGCAGTTCAGCGGTTCGAATCCCTAGTGCCGCATAATGGGGTGAGCTTCCGTGACTTGTCCCAGCTTCTGCCAACCTAGCAGTTCGAAAGCACGTTAAAAAATGCAAGTAGAAAAACAGGGACCACCTTTGGTGGGAAGGGAACAGCGTTTCGTGCGCCTTTGGCGTTGAGTCATGCCGGCCACATGACCACGGAGATGTCTTCAGACAGTGCTGGCTCTTTGGCTTTGAAAGGGAGAGGAGCACCGCCCCCTAGAGTCGGGAACGACTAGCACATATGTGCGAGGGGAACCTTTCCCTTTCCCTTTAAGATAAAAGTGAAGGGCCCATTTGATGTTAGTAGTGACAAAATGAGGCCATCAACCAGAAGATTGTGAAGTTCTAATTTGGTTTTGAGCTTTTATGGATGACCTTCCCCAGCCACGAACTCCCACTAATGTTGATGTTTTTCACGGATCGTTTTTCTTAAGGAGTTTTGTTTTTATATTATTGCTGTAAACTTGTTTGAGGGTTTGCATTAAATGCCCTGCATCAATATTTTGAAAACAAGGAGCCCAGATCGGGAAGTTGCGCAATATTTTAGATAACAAGCTCAACCCTGTTGCACACACATTTGCATTTGTCCAGAGTCAATTTATTTTCCTTCGTCTCAACAACAGCGTAGTTATCTGGGTTTCAAAGTTAAGATTGCGACAGAGTCACAAACTCCTAATAGGGTGGGTGTAGCCAGCCTGAGGCCATTGCAGACAATCTGTCTAAGACCATCGGATGACACTGGTCATCCTTTGAGGACAAGACAAAACCTGTTCGGAACGAAGGCAAATATTTCCTGCTCTCGTTCTAACCCGGAGCGGAGTTTTCTCATGAAAAAAAAGAGGCGTATGTGTGTCTCTATACGGTAGTGGTCGAAATTGCGGAAACCTTTTGGGAAAAGTGTATTTCCTAAAACTAGCTAGTAACACCACTTTTTTTTTTTGGAGTAGTACCATAAAATTATATGTCGATGGAAAGGTAATTTAATCAAGAATGTCATGCAATAACTTTTAGGAAGGATTTGCTATTAGAATAGCAGTTACGGTATAAAGAAGAAAAGTGAAACATGCAGAAAAAATGAGATATACAAAAATGATCACCATAGAAAAAACGAGATATGCAAAAATGATCCCCATATCAATTAATCCTTAGTTGGGTAACTTTTAGCATGAATGACGGCCTTACAATGTCTTCCCCATGGAATGAACCAAGTCTATGAGTTCTGCAGCTGTTCTAATGTGAAACCAAGATTGAATGATGGCTTCTGTTAACTGGGTTTTATTGCTGGGTGGCTTTTGACTAACCAGTTTCTTTAGTCGGCTCCATAGATTTTCGATTGGGTTAAGAAGGTCTGGGCTATTCCCAGGCCGTTCCAGCAGTGGAATAGGATTCTCTTTGAAACTCCAAAAAAGAAAAGTGGTGTTATTAGCCATCAAACCTCAAAAATACTCTTTTCACAAGAGGTTTCCACAATTTTGGCCACTACTGTATAAGGGAAAATATGTTTATCAAATCCAGGTAGTTCTCAACTTACAACAGTTCATTCAGTGACCACTGAAAGTTACAACGGGCACTGAAAAAAGGGCCGTACGACTGTTTTTCAAACTTAAGACTGTTGCAGCATCCCACTGTCACGTGATCAGAATTCAGAGGTTTGGCAACTGACTTGTGTTTATGACAGTTGCACTGTTCCAGGTTCACATGGCAACCAGATTCTGATGAGCAACGTCAAGGGGAAAAGCCAGATCCGCTGCGGATGCAGTGATTCGCTTAACAACCGTGGCAAGAAAGGTCGTAAAATGGGGCAAAACTCACTTAACATCTGCCTCCCTTAGCAATAGAAATTTTGGGCTTATAATGGTGGCCGTAAGTCGAGGACTACCTGTATAAGACCCAGACGGAACAACAGGGAAATGAAGAAATATTTTCCAGAGATCTGGGGTGGCCATTCTATTCTTTTTTTTTTGGTTTAGCCAAGAGTTGCAAACTGAAATGTTCCCAGACAGGTAAAACAAGTGCTTACATAGGAGATCCGCGAAGGGGGAAAAAAAACGTTGAAAACCAATCCCTGTGATTTTGCAAAAGGCTTTTCTCTTTTCTGCTCCTGCATTTCTTCTTTTTGAATCCATTAAAAAAAAAAAAACATTCCCAATTCCCAGACATATAAAGTAAATTTTTATTTACTCTTTTGGGCAGGGGTAAAAGTCCTCCGAGCTTTAACCGCAATGCAACCCTTCCCAGGCGCTCTGAATTTCTGGTCCTGCTCTCCATCCCTTCTCTGCTCTCACTCAGTGAGGGTGGGAGGAGACTGAAGTCACCCCCCCACGGCAGGGGTGGATTCAGCAGGTTCGGGCAAATTTTACATCTGGTTCACTGGTTCACTGGTAGTTGCAAGGATTGGAAGTACTGGAAGTCTGGAAAGGGGCCCGTTTCTGGCCTCCGTAGGGACTCCAGAGCCAGGGGGTGGCTGTTTTTGCCCTCCTAGAGGCTTGAGGAAAGCCTCCAGAGCCTGGGGAGGGTGAAAAACAGGACTACCGGAAGTACCGGAAGTCTGGAAACAGGCCGTTTCCGGCTTCCAGGGGAGGCTGTTTTTGCCCTCCCAGAGGCTCAAGAAAAGCCTCCAGAGCCTGGGGAGGGAAAAAAACGAGCCTATGGAAGTCCAGAAACGGGCCAGAGGGCCTCCGGAGCCTGGGGGAGGCCATTTTCACCCTACCGGAGGCTCGAGGAAAGCCTCTGGAGCCTGGGGAGGGTGAAAACACCCTGCCATGGTGCAGGAGGCTGAGTAGGCCACGCCCACCATGGCCACGCCCACCCAGCAACCGGGCAGAGAACTGGTTGCTCTAATTTTTGAATCCCACCCTGCCCCACGGGCAAAGGAGGAGAAGATCTGAAAGGAAGGAGGAATTCCGTCCTTGATGCTCTTGTTCAGCTGGTTAGAGACACTGCTCAGTTCTACACCTACTAAGAAACCAGTAAAGCCGCATGAACACCAAACAGCATAGGGGAAGACTGATGGACCACTTGGATGCACACTCTGTCTTTGCTACAGCCCTAGTGGTACAGCATGCTGCGGACCTCATCGGTCAAAGAATCACCTCTGGCAGCATCCAGGAGAAGGGCCTTTTCTGCTGAGGCTCCCCCCCTCCCGGAACATTGTGCCCCTCAAGGTGAGATCTGTCTCCCCACCCTCTTGGCCTTCCAAAATGACTTCAAAACCTAGCTCTACCAACTGGCATGGGATAAGGCGTTCACATCAGTGCTGGTTAGTGACCTAGGAAGAAAATCCCACCTTCACCCTGGTAAATCCTGGTTTCTAATTTATCATTCCCCCCCACCCATTTTAATGCTTAATGTTCTGTATTTTTGCTTTTATGGTGTTACAAGCCACCCAGGGACGCAGTGGCTCAGTGGCTAAGACGCTGTCGATCGAAAGGTTGACAGTTCAGTGGTTCGAATCCCGAGTGCCGCGTAACGGGGTGAGCTCCCGTTACTTGTCCCAGCTTCTGCCAACCTAGCAGTTTAAAGCAGGTAAAAAATGCAAGTAGATAAATAGGGACCATCTTTGGTGAGAAGGGAACAGCGCTCCGTGTGCCTTTGGCGTTGAGTCATGCCGGCCACATGACCACGGAGACGTCTTCGGACAGCGCTGGCTCTTCGGCTTTGAAACGGAGATGAGCACCGCCCCCTAGAGTCGGGAACAACTAACACATATGTTCGAGGGGAACCTTTACCTTTTACCTTAAGCCACCCAGGACCACTTGAACAATGAGCAATGGGCATCCTACCATTTTAATACTAGTAATAATGAATGAAAAGATATTGGCAACGTACCCAATACAGTGAGATTGAGTTGGTTTTCCCGGTTTCCGGTAGGGAAGGTGGCAAACTCACAGATGTAGATCCCTTCATCGTCCAACTGGAGGTTGGACAGCTTGATGGTCCCATCGGTGATGGAAGGGCTCTGGAAGACCACTTTCTCCTCGTAGGGGGGCAGGATGGAGACGCCCATGACGGGGTTGTAGATGGCCACATTTTGCTTGGAGCCATTGCTGGCTTTCTGCCAGGTAACTTGGGTGATCCTCGTGTGGTTGATCTTGACCAAGTTGCAATGAAGGACCACATCGGTCCCGATGAAGCCGGAGACCGTCTCATTGACGAGCACCTTCTGAGCCCAGAGGCCTACAAGAAAAGAGGAACGGAAGGATTAGAATGCGTTGTGTTCTTCTTCTTTTTTTAAACAGTCAAAAGCCCCTTTCTTTATTTTTAAACAAACATCCATAAAAACATAAAACCATCATCAATTACACGCAGTGTGTCGGTTGGTTAGAAATCTTCTGTGCATCTTCACCATGTTCATAGCTTGCAGTTTACCTAAGTTCTTATATTATCGATCTAATATATATCTATGTATTATTATCCTCATTAATCATTTATTTGACCATAGCTATTCTTCCCTCATATTGTACCAAATATTCTAAGATTTGAATTGACTCAAGGTTGACTCAGCCTTCCATCCTTTCTAAGGTAGGTAAATAGAGGACCCACTTTGTGGGGGCAATAAGCTGACTTTGTATAAATATACAAAAGGATGAAGGCTATTGCTTAACGCATTGTAAGCCACCCTGAGTCTCCGGAGAAGGGCGGCATATAAATCAAATTTAAAATTTTTTTGATTTATATATAACATTCATTTCATCATTAAATCGGTCTAGTAATGATACTCCTTTATGTTATATTTTATATAATGCTAAAATTCTTGTATTATAAAAATCTCTTATCATCTTTCAGTTCCATATTTTTTTATCTAACCATCGATAAAATAAATCCCATATCTTATAATACTGTTTATCTTCTTGTTCTCTAATTTCAAATGTCAATTTACTCATTTCGGCACATTCCATTATTTTCTTAATGACTTCATCTTGCGTTAGTATTTTCTCATTTTTCCAATTTTTAGCAAACACAATTCTAGCCGCCGTTAATACATTCACAATCAGATATTTCAATTCTCTATTCTCTATTATATATTCAATTCTCTATTATATCTATATAATAGATATATTATATATATCTATTATATAATCCCCAATTAAAAAAATCTCTGTGATTTAAAAAATGTGATTTTTTTAAAAATCACATTTTTTTAAAAAAAAGTGTTGTGTTCTTAAAGAGTTCTCCAAGCGAAAATTTGGGGGGGTTGCAATTGTTCTACATCCAAGCTAGGTAACGTAATCGATGAAGATTAGGATGTTGCACTGGAAATGATCCTTGTTTCTGGGATCTCAAGGTTGTCTTTGTGAATCTGCCAGGGTTATCATTTCGGAACCACAAATTCCTGCGAGCTCTTTCAAAGCTCAGAAGATTAAGGGGAGACAATCTGGCAACAGGTTTCATCCTGTTGCAGAATTCTCCCATTTCCTGGCTTTGCACAATGCAATGAATCATTAAGTCATCCAGTGGCCTGGGTTCACACAACATATTAAGACACACACACACACACACACACACACACACACACCAAGGAAACAATCAAAGCTAAAGCTAATTCAACTTAGTATTGTGTGCAAAAATAGCCCAAATGACCATTGCAGACGCTGTCTTTTTTCTTGAAAGAGGCTTAACAATGTGTTTTTAACTTCGGTTCCTGCACGGACGTCTGCCGGATAATAAAACAACCTGCAAAACTCTATTGAAAATCAACATGCCGAAATAAACGTTTGAGGCAGAGGAGAAGAGAGGAGAAGGGAGGCGAAAGGAGGAGAGGAGAAGGGAAGCAAAGGGAGGCGAAAGGAGGAGAGGAGAAGGGAAGGGAGGAGAGGAGAGGAGAAATGAAGGGAGGAGAGGAGAGGAGAAGGGAGGTGAAAGGAGGAGAGGAGAAGAGAAGGGAGGAGAAGGGAGGAGAGAAGGAGTGAAGGGAGGAGAGGAGAGAAGAGAAGAGAAGGGAGGAGAGGAGAAGGGAGGTGAAGGGAGGAGAGGAGAAGGGAGGAGAGGAGAGAAGGGAAGGGAAGGGAAGAGGAGAGGAGAGGAGAGAAGAAGAGGAGAGGAGAGGAGAAGTGAAGGGAGGTGAAGGGAGGAGAGAAGAAGTGAAGGGAGGAGAGGAGAGAAGAGAAGGGAGGTGAAGGGAGGAGAGGAGAAGGGAGGAGAGGAGAGGAGAGAAGAGAAGGAAGGGAGGTGAAGGGAGGAGAGAAGAAGGGAGGTGAAGGGAGGAGAGGAGAGGAGAGGAGAGGAGAGGAGAGGAGAGAAGAGAAGAGAAGAGAAGAGAAGAGAAGAGGTGAAAGGAGGAGAAGAGAAGGAGGAGAGGAGAGAAGAGAAGAGAAGGGAGGTGAAGGGAGGAGAGGAGAAGGGAGGAGAGGAGAGGAGAGAAGAGAAGGAGGTGAAGGGAGGAGAGAAGAAGGGAGGTGAAGGGAGGAGAGAGGAGAGGAAGAAGAGAAGAGAAGAGAATTTGCATAAAATCCCTATGGGCTGCCACATTTTGAACCTGTTGAAGCATCTAGGGTGCATGGAAGGAGAGTCGAGCAGAATTGAACCGAACTACCCTGGTAAAAGGCTGGGCAGCTTTCGGAAGTGAGCGGATTGCAGCAGAGAGAACGCAAAGTGAGAAGAACAGGACATTTTGGGAGCGGTGTGTGTGTGTGTGTGTGTGATGGAAATCTATTTATCCGTGCTCCCATGCATGGTAGAATTGAATGCATGCTATATTTCCATATATTCCCTCCCTCCCACACGCAAAAGCACACGGAGAGACCAAAGCCCGCCAGCCACCGAAAGAAAATAAACATTACACTGCAACTTAAGGGACGCTGACTCAGGAGGAAGTGCCATTGCATTTAATGGGACTCATCGCTTTGATGCAGGAAGCCTCCTTGGGCCTGGGGATTTTTTCAAAGGTGCTGAGCTGGCAGCTCCCATCAGCCTCAGCCAGCTCGGCTGCAGGACGATGGTGTTTGGAGGGGGCCAGCCTGGGAGAGGCCCTGATGAGGTTGCTTTGGGGCTGCGCCACGAACGGGAGAGACCAAAGAAAAGAGGAACGAGAGGAGCATTCGGCCGTTTCACGGCAAACCCAACCAGGGTTATGGAGCTCAATTTTGGAATGGCAGGGAGGGAAGGTTGAGGAGAGACTTTCTCTGTAGTGTGGAGTCTTTTCTTGTAGACGTTCCATGAGCCAGCTAGGTGACATTATCAGTGTTAGGAGGGAGTGGGGTTTGCGAGAACTGAGAACTGATGAGGTTACCTAGTTGGGTCATGGAACGTCTGCAAGGAAAACAACAACAACAACAACCTCAGAGAGCACCAAAGATCCCAAAGATGTCTCCTCCTCCTCTTCCCTCCCTCCTCCTCTTCCCTCTGCAATCCCCACTCCCTTCTATCCTGATAATGTTACCTAGTTGGGTCATGAAATGTCTACAAGGGAAAAAAAACCACTTCAGAGAGCACCAAAGATCCCAAAAATGTCTCCTCCTCCTCTTCCCTCCCTCCTCCTCCTCCCTCTGCAATCCCCACTCCCTTCCATCCTGATAATGTTACCTAGTTGGGTCATGAAATGTCTACAAGGGAAAAAAACAACAACCTCAGAGAGCACCAAAGACCTCCTCCTCCTCCCTCCTGCAAACCCCACTCCCTTCTACCACTGAGGATGTTAACTACCCTGTTTCCCCCGAAAATAAGACATCCCCTGAGATAATAAGCCCAATCGGGCTTTTGAGCGCATGAGCTAAAATAAGCCTCCCCCTCCCCGAAAATAAGCCCTCCCTGAAAATATTTAAACGCAGAGCTGGAAATCAGGTAAGACGGCAAGAGGAGCCCCGTCTTGTTCCATGCACCCCAAAATAATAAGGCCTCCCCAAAAATAAGGCCAAGCACTTATTTGGAGGTTCAAAAAAATATAAGACAGGATCTTATTTTCAGGGAAACACGGTAGTTGGGTCCCGAAATGTTTGCAAGAAAACAAACCTCAAAGAGCACCAAATATGATGTCCTCCTCTGCCTCCTTTGCTGCTGCAAACCCCACTCCCTTCTACCACTGATGCTGTTACCTAGTTGGGTCATGAAACATCTTCAAGAAGGCAAGAGCATCAACTCAGTTCAACCCTGAGCTACAAACAGCCTTTTCTATCTGTATCAATAACCTTCCAGGGGAAAAAAAAAGGGGGGGATTTTGTGATTGAGCATTAAAAATGTCTGAGCCCCCCCCCTCCCTCTTCTCGCAATGCCAAATGTGCCCTGGGTCCTTTTAGCAAAAGGGAGATAAGTCTCCCTCCCCAACTGTGCCCCTTTCAACCATCTCTCCTCCTCGCCCCCTCCCCTTCAAATTTCTGCTGCGGCTGCATATTCCCCGATTTGTGTATTTAGAGATAACACACCAGTAATTATACGGCTGGTATTTTTATTTCGTACAGAGAAAGGAGAGTGGAAAAAAAAAAGAGGGAGGGTTAACAACGCATGCAGCCGAGAACTGGAAAAGCGAGACCCTCCCATCCCCACCTGCCCATCCCAAAGAAACGGAAAGCCTGGGGAAATGCGAATGAGTGGAGAGAGAGAGAGAGAGATAAAGAGAAAGAGAGAGAGAGAGAGAGAGATGTGGAGAGAGAGAGAGAGGGAGAGGGAGAGAAAGAGAGAGGGAGGGAGAGAGAGATGTGGACAGAGGGGAGAGGGAGAGATGTGGAGAGAGAGAGAGAAAGAGATGTGAGAGGGAGAGAGAGACATGTGGAGAAACAGAGAAAGGGAGAGGGAGAGAGGGGAAGAGAGAGAGAGGTAGAGGGAGAGAAAGAGGGAGGGAAGGAGGGGGAGAGAGATGTGGAGAGAGAGGGAGAGGGAGAGATGTGGGGAGAGAGAGAGAGAAAGAGAGAGATGTGGAGAGAGAGGGAGAGAGAGATGTGGAGAAAGAGAGAGGGAGGGAGAGAGGGGAAGAGAGAGAGAAAGAGAGATGCGGAGAGAGAGGGAGAGAGATGTGGAGAGAGAGAGAGAAAGGGAGAGAGAGATGTGGAGAGAGAGAGAGGGAGAGATGTGGAGAGAGTGAGAGAAAGAGATGTGGAGAGAGAGGGAGAGAGGGAGAGAGAGAGAGATGTGGAGAGAGAGAGAAAGGGAGAGGGAAAGAGTGGGAAAGAGAGAGAGAGGGAGAAGGAGAGAAAGATGTGTAGAGAGAGGGAGATGCGGAGAGAGAGGGAGAGGGAAAGAGAGAT